CAACACAACGCGCTCATTAACTACTATCAGTTGGCACCTAAAGTTAGGTAAAGTACGTTGTTCTTCATTCGTATCAGGATTAGCCTTGTGCAGGAACATCATGGCGGCATATGCATAGCAACAACATATTTCAGCTATGAATAGACACTGGGACATTCGTCAAGAAGAAAGACATCTTTAATGCTTACGTAACATATGCAAATACGAAATAACGATGGTTATGGTTTTCCATGGCAGTCGACGCATTTCATTACGTATATCGGTATTACCACGATATTATCAAAATCATTATCAGAATCACGATCGGTATGGGTAACTAACCACTACTGACTGTCACATGAAACCTTACCATCGTTGTTCTACGCTTGAATATCCTAGACCATGTAAGAAGGAATAGATCAAATGGTCAATGATGAGCCTAGAATTGAAGTCATTTAACTAATGTATATTCATGAAGTTGCCCACATCGGCAGATCTTTCGTAGTTATTACGGTCACGCTCTGCGAAGCAGCTTCATAGGCGCCGTGCACCAATTATGGCCATGAGTCATGTATGTTTGCCAGTATTCACGAGTAACTCGGAAGCCTGTAAGACCTGTGGTAGGCAAAGCGAGGTTGCAAACTATTTTTCGGTGTTGCTGTGCGTTGTGACTGCGACAGCTTGTATTTAAGGCTCGTTTTACGTGCTGCCACGATGAGGATGTTCCGTACGGCAGAGCGGACGACTTCAATCGCTGCTGCTACAATCGTTTCGCAGGCGGAAGGGACTGGATAAATGGCCAGGACGATGTCGACGACCCGTGCTGCGATCGCATCACAGCGAACATCTTCTGGCGGCACCCGGGACGCATAGCCGAACTGTGCTTGCCGAATATCAACATCGACTATTCGAACTTGGAGATAGACGTGAAGTTGCGCGACGGCACCGAAAAGAGCATCGAGTTGAAAGAGTTGGTCGCGTTGCGATACGACTGTCCGTACTTGCACAAGAGGTCCAACTTCTACCGCTACGACATCTGACCACAACGAACCTACGAATCAGTGGTTCAGACGAAACAATAAGCAACGAAAGTACATATGCGCTATCAACACATGGCTGTTTATTCACGTTTAAATTTGAAGCAGTTCGAATTTCGAATATAAAAATAGTCATCTGCACTGATGCTGCGATAGATCGATACATTGGATCGAAATCCTTAACCAAAAAATGAAATAACTGAAGTCGACGGCAAAAACGCCATGTATTTTTCAGTTCTCTGCTTCTTTCTCTTCGACCAGTCGGCTGCGTTTTTCATTCAGTACCTGCCGCACCTCACGGATGACCCTTTCAGTAGTTATTCGGTAATACTCGCATCGTGAGTACATCACCAGCGACACCAGAAGATAAACCCATGCTCCATAACGTATCGATTTCGTCGGCTTCGCCGTCCACGCAAACACTCCCAACATCGAAAACATTCCGGAAGATACGCCGTACATGACAGAATCAAGAAAGCAATGATTTCTCGTCACCTTCTTCCAGAGAATGGCCAAACTACGCTTATCATCTTCTGTCGGATTCATCTGCAACGCAGAGCGGGAGCTTCAAATTTCCATGATCTCGTTCCCCCTTAAAACATAAATAAAATTAGTTACACTGAAACTACAGCACACACTGCAAATCGTTAACACTGTCACGTACGATACGCGAGATACCTGATAACTGGCGATCAGTGACAGACCCATTTACGCAATTCAACAAAGATGGCCTGGTAGTGATGCACTGGATTACAGTTTGTTTTGCATTTTAGAAGTGCCGGCTCGAAATCTCGCGTGCGGCTTAAAATTTCTAATTTACTGCCAAATCCATTGAGCAGGAAATTCATCTCACTGTATTTTTGTATAACGGGCCTAAGAACAGCTAGCAAGCCACTGACCTGCGAATAAGTGGGAGAGCGTGGAGCTCTAGAGGGTCGTGGCAGGGTTTGCAAACTTAAGGGCAAGGAGTTTGAAACGTGCGCTTTAAGGCAGCAATTAGCCCTGACCATCTGACAAAATATTAGCATCAAGTGAAAACGATAAAATAAAAAAACAGATAAAGACAATCATAGCGTAAAAAACTCCGCGATGAGCATAAAACTTTAGATTGCCAGTTTCTGGAGTGAAAGGGAAAAGTGCATGTCACCATGCGTTTTATAAATTTTAAAACAGACAAGAAATTCAAGACAACAACAGACAGTGCCGTCCATTTAAATGGATGGCGATATGGTGAGAAATGAGCAACGTCAATACAGAGGATTTCCTGCGTTTTACGATAAATTCACCAAGGACACTATTTATTGACCATATTTTGAAATCCTCTATTCAGCAAAATTCGTGTTACCCATAAGTCGCATGCTCTGTTCAGAAGGCAAAAGCGTAATGAAAAATTCACTAGGATTAATATAGCTGATCGCCTATATTCTTCGCTCCAATTTGCAGACAGAAGATAATTATCATAGACAACGTTCTTAACAGATATGCGGAACTCTGTCCACCCCACCACCAGTCTTGTGGCCCGCCGCGACATTGCAGTGGAGCAATAACAGCGGACGAGGAGCCCTCGGACTTCCCAGTAAGTGCAGTTTTAACTGGTCTTTACATGGATCACCTGGAGGTAAAAGCCCTTAATGAATGCCCGCCAGAATTATGACCCCCGCTAATGTTCGATTCGTTGATGACATTTTACTTTTATTCCAACGAAACGAGAATGAAACGAAAAGGTTGGAAAGCTTAGTGATTTACATGAATAGATATTAATGGTCGAATATGTCTTACCACTGAAGTGGAGGTTAACCACTCTATATCTTTCCTAAACATGCTGGTGAAGAGGACTCCACCATTTGAACTTGACTTTTCCATATATTGGAAACCGGCACACTCCAATCGATACATATTCCCAGGGTCATGTGAATCTACTGGATTACCTAGGAACGTGGTGAAGAACATGCATGTGTGAATTCAAGAGACATGCACTAACACTTCGGGCCTAAACGCAGAAATTCAACATCTTCACCAAGCGTTTCTGAAGAACGTCTACCGAAGGAAGATTCTTGACGAAGAACTTTTGCACCCCAGCTCAGACTTAAAGATGACCAGTTCATGTGAACCAATGATAATTTTACCGTTCACACGCCTAGGTATCTATCTCAACGTATCAGAAATTACCTTAATGACAAGGTTTGGGGTCTACTACAAGAGTGGCACAACACTGGGTGATATTTAAAAAGTACATGCTAA